GGGGGTTGGAACAAGATGATCTTCAAGGTCCCTTCCAACTCAAACCATTCTACGATTCTACAAATAGCTTTCAGCATGGAAGAATGTGGTAGTCATCACTTATTCCTTCCAAAGATGTTGTTCAAAATAAGTGTTTGGAAGACCTGCAAGGAGCCCCACAGGAGCCCTGGCTCCCACTGGGTTCCTGGGGGCCCGGCGGAGACGGCGTGCCGGGGAGCCGCTCCTTCTCTTGGCCTGGGCGAGGGGTGAGGGCTCCAGCCATTCAACTGAACTCAGCAGGAGGCACCGGAGCAAAGACTTCTCCTTTCCGCCGAGTCAGCAGGCACTGCCCACACACAGAGGGGCGAGGGCCAGCACATCGGCGATGGAGACCCTGCCTCTCCCCAAACCGAGGTGCCAACAGGCAGAGGAGAGATCAAAACTTGTTTTTTCTGAACCCCATGCCTCCTTCAATCACTAAATTCTGTCGATAGAATCATCCATTAGGGCCTGATTGAATCATAGAATGGTTTGGGTTGGAAGGGACCTTAAAGATCATGGAGTCCCAACTCCCCCTGCCATGGGAAGGGACACCTTCCACTAGACCTGGTTCCTCAGAGCCCCATCCAACCTGGCCTTGACTGGTTTGAAACCGGCCTGCTTCAGGTGAGTATTTCTCTTTACGAGGGAAAATTTGGATGGAGACAGCAAAATCAGATTAATTCAAGGTGTTCTATTAGGCAGCAACCTGACACCACAGCTCATTAACTGAGTGTCTGTTGCCTTTCAAGCTTCACTTCTGTGCATGTTTAAACCACGCCACTTACATGTATAGCTCTTCACTATCTGTTTTATTAAGAGATATTTAAAAAAAAGTAAAAAAAAAAAAAAAAATCGAAACAGTATTAAAGAAACTTCTCTACAACAGCAGCATATCCTGTATTATTCTACAGAACGTTAAAACAACCAACAGAGAAATTAAGCTATTCTAGACCATGTAGAATGAAGAAAACTATCCTGAATTTGACCAGTTCTGTCCCAATTAAATTAAATAAATTACTTCAACAAAAAGAGCCAGTTTTCACGTTATAATCGCATGCTATACATCACTACGACCGTAACCAGCCTTTCTTTTTCACATCGCGTTCCTTTTACCAGCCCTTCAGAATGCTCATAGGAATTAAATTTAAGCTCAGTTAAATGAATATTGCCAGTGGAAACAAGTTCACTGGAAACAATAAGTCATTCTATAAACATACACAGCTAGAGAAAATACGGCTTTTCACGCTACTCTTGACATAGAATAAATTCTTTTAAAATTTTATAATGATACAAGTATAACAGTTTTTGAGGAAATACACCACTAGTTACTGATGGCATGAAACAAAGTCAGCCAAAATAAATAAACAAACAACAACAACAAAAAAGGCATTTGTGGTGGAAGTTCTCGGTTTAAATAACAAAAACCATATCAAGAATTTGATCTCAATTGCCAGTAAACAGTATCTAATAAATCAAAGGGTCACACTGGGACTAAGAATTCCTCTTATGTGAACAATCCATCTTAATAACCCCCAAAAATTCCTCAGGGGAATGAAACTAGAGCTCAACCTGCTAAAAACTTAAGGGTTAAAGGAATGTAAGAACTTCCCTCAAACGAAGTGAGCAACTCAGGGGTACTGATGTGACTCCACAAGTTACCACGCGGCAGCTGAGCACGCTGTCAACCTGCACGAAGCCAACGAAAGGCAAAGCCCCATGGCTAAAACTTGAAGAGATTTAAGTGTACGGAGAAAATATATACGAGAAGCAGCACGCCGCCTGCAAGCTGAGCTATCCAGGCAGTCCAAACCGCGTTCCGGCATTACTCCGTCCCAAGGGAGACCCTCTGCAACGGGGAGCGCTGAGGCAGTACAGCATCGCACCCGCATCACCTGATACACGGAGCGGAACCAGCCAAGCACTGAAGCAACTCTGAAATTTTCCATAGATACAATCTCAAGAAAGTGTTTACATTAAGCAGTTTCTCCTCCCGTTCGCAATACAAGAATACAGTTAGCAAATTCATCCGGTTGGCGATTTAATTGCTCTTGTTAGCTCTAAGAAATGTGACTGCAGCTAAACACAATTTTCTCAAATGTTATAAAGTTTTAGGGGACTCCTGCAGACTCTTGGACAACCGACCGACTTACAGGTCAGCTTTATTTATATTTTATGAAATTACGAAGCTTTCTAGAATTTCTCAAGTCTGAAGGAAAGAGAATCTTTCTCCCTCCGCCCCTTCCGTTAAGTTCCAGCACTCGAGGAACTCCACCTCAAAAGTCCCAGAAGAAAATGCACTGTTACTGCTCTTCCACGAGCTGGCTGGAGGGAAAAAAAGTTTTGGAAAGAGAACCTCTAAGTAGTCACAGCAACGTAACACTGATTCTGTTACACCCTCTACTCTGTTCTGATGAGACCCCACCTGGAATATTGCGTCCAGCTCTGGGACCCCAACATAAGAAGGACATGGACATGATGGAGCGGGTCCAGAGGAGGGCACGGAGATGCTGCGAGGGCTGGAGAACCTCTGCTGGGAGGAGAGGCTGGGAGAGTTGGGGGGGGTTCAGTCTGGAGAAGAGAAGGCTCCGGGGAGACCTTAGAGCCCCTTCCAGTGCCTAAAGGGGCTCCAGGAGAGCTGGGGAGGGACTCTGGATCAGGGAGGGGAGACATAGGATGAGGAGGAATGGTTTTAAACTGAAAGAGGGGAGATTTTGATGAGATATTAGGAAGAAATTCTCTCCTGTGAGGGTGGTGAGCCCCTGGCACAGGTTGCCCAGAGAAGCGGTGGCTGACCTACCCCTGGAGGTGGTCAAGGCCAGGTTGGATGGGGCTTGGAGCAACCTGATCTAGTTGAAGATGTCCCTGCACATTGCAGGGGGTTTGGACTAGATGACCTTTAAAGGTGCTTTCCAACCCAAACTATTCTATGATTTTAACACTTCATTTTCATCAGTTCATGCTTAGAATGAGAACAGATACAAACCTTGCGTGTTCTTGAAGGACATAATAGCTTGCCTGTAGGGATTGGGCGTATCTGGAGCATCGGTCAGATTGGCCAAGACCAGGAGAAGCAGCAGACTCTGGTTTGCTAGAGGGGAGCACTGCTCCAGCTGCGGCGTTGGTTTACTCCCCACTCCACCTAGCGTGAAGACCGTCCACAGGCCAGCTGGAGAGAAAAGGCAAAAAAATATTATGAGTGTTCACATTTTAATGAACAAAGCTCCTTTGGAGGCAAAGACAGCAGCTGACAGACAGAGAGAAGAGGGAAAAACAATTCACCCCCATACAATGAGATGACAGGTCCGGCTACTTGATTTCTCAAAATGAAAATTGCAGGAGTCACAGGGCAGTAGGCACGGAGAGGTGGGAATTGAAAGATTACTGGAAATTCAAGAAAATTAAGTCATAGGAATACACGAAAAGGAAATTAGGAGACGTGCAACAAAAGCATATGTTTGTAGGGGAGAACCTTAAACACAGAGCAGATACCAACTAAAGGATTCATGTAGTGAGTAATAATAATAATGCTAATAATGCTGGTAATGCTAACGTATTAAGAGATGAAAAGGAGCTTCTACGTTGCCTTCTTAATAAAACTGATGTGCTCCATCATGCAGCGTTTTTCTCATGTATTCTCATTTTCATAGAATGGTTTAGGTTGGAAGGGACCTTAAAGATCATCCAGCTCCAACCCCCCTGCCATGGGCAGGGACATCTCCCACCATCTCCAAGCCCCGTCCAACCTGGCCTTGAACACCTCCAGGGATGGAGTTTCCACAACTTCTCTGGGCATTTTTTAATAATTTTTTTTTACTCTGGCATATTTGAATAAACTCAGCATATTTTAGGCAAAATGCAGCAACAAAAATCTAATACTGCTTAAACTAGAACCTCCAAATTGAGAGTCCTGTAGAGATCATCATCATCGCTCATTATTGCAGGTAGACAACAAAATACCAGATAATAAACTTCTTGGAAAAAAAGACAGGATCAACAGCCATTTAAATTTAAATTTTGAGCTATTATTAAACTCTGCCTCGTATTTTTGCATTCCTACAGAAGATGAAACAACTTGAAAAAGCAGTCCAGCTGGAAGTACTTACACTGCTCCAAAATTCCTTTTTAAGGGACTGCATATAACCTGTAACGGTACAGAAGTACAAACTGATTACAATAACTTGAAGTTTAAAATCCAGTTAAAAAGAAAGAAAAATTTGAAGTGACAAATCACTATTGATAATGCCAAACAAAAAAAAAAATATATATTTCAGACTGGCTGATTCCTCTTGGGTAAGAAAGTTTTTGCTGTCTCACAACTGCCTTGAAAATAGACATATAACAAAGCGCTCAAACTTCATTCATTTTGGACCTGCAAAAAATTTATTAGGTACGAAAATGTAAATAGCTCATCACCCCACACCAACTCTCGGTTCTTTTCTCACTACCTGTAGGAAGAAGGCATGTTGGAATACCCTCCCTTTTATGTCGGTACGTATATATGGTGCATGTACCACTCCAGCATTAAGGCTGCACCTGAAAGCTGCTCGTTAAAACTCTCATTATCGTACTCTTGAAACTTTGATGTTTGAGCCCGAAACGCAAGCGGAATCATTTTCATACTTAATCACAGAATCGTCTAGGTTGGAAGGGGACTTTAAGATCATTGAGTCCAACCATCAACCTGACGCTGCCAAAACCACTACAAATCCTTACAGCATTAAAAAAAAGTAATAAAAAAATAACTCCAATTAAACTAAACTACTGCATTCGAAATTCCTTTTCCTAATTACAACTGCGTTGAGGAACCAAGTTGACCAGCTACGTGCCCAAGTACCGATGTAAGGAGACTGGGAAGGAGAAGAGGAGGATTAGAGCACTCCTCTCACACCGAGTCCATAAATCCTCATTTTCTTGCCAACGCTCACGAGACTGTATTACACTGGGGGGGGAACACCAAAGCTGAAGGAGAGATGCTGCAGACTCAGCGTTCCTGGGGAAAGAGCCAGGGGAAAGGATAAAACTTGTCCCCCTTCCGTGGCTACGGTGGCATGTAACGATGTCCATGTCACTGGGCCACTGCCTTTATCACACCTGGGCTCCCAGTACGTTCCCAGAGGATAAGATCAAATCACACTGGATGATATTCGTCCCCAAATGCCTGCTTAGCACTGTATTTTTTTGAGTGTATCTTGAATTTTTAGGTAGACACTGAGCATTTCATCAAATGATTCATTGTATAGGTCAAACTCTTGAATCATAGAGCACCTAAATAAGAAACAAGCTCAACTTTAAAGAGACCCCAACATTCTCATTTCCTTTTTTTTAATTAATGCCTAAATTCAAAATGAATCCTAACACGCTTTCTTAAAGACAGAAAAATTGAGTTTGGTTTCCCATCTCTTAGCCTGCGAGATTCAAGGTGCGCAGCACAAAACCCTGTAAGCCCTCTGAATGCAAAACTTAAGTGTAGTATAAGCAACTAAAAGAACATAAAGTACGCTCAGCCCTACAAAAAACTTCGAGCCAGCCAAAGAGTATTTTTTTTTTTTCTTCAAATGTAATTATATAGTCTGATTTTATAATAAACCAACTTCATCGCCCCAATTGCGAGGCAATTACTGCCACGTCAAAGGCAAAGGAACTAATGCCATTCGGCGTTAAGCAGCTGGAAGGAGTTCTTATAATAAAAAGCACTATAATTACAGCCACCTTAGGGAAAATTTCACCTTGCATTAATAATCCTTTATCACCGTGGGTTTGATCCGCTGTCCTTAAATGAGAAGGAAGCTGAATAAAAATGCTGACCGTCAAATTAGCTTTTAAGCTCCTGTGAGTTATCAGGATAGGTAACACGCAAAGAAATTGTTTTGTTTGTTTTTTTTGTTTTTTTTAAAAAAGAAATAATCATATATTTATCATCATTTGTTAAATGAATTCAAAGTCAGCACATTTCCTCATGAACTTTAGCGTAGTTCTCAGCTCAACCAGCACTTTTAGTTTTCCACCACTGTGGTTGGTATCTGCTGTTCCTACACCTTTCCTCAAGAGTTAGGAAAAAAGGGATACGGCCAAGATACCGGCAAGGAAATCCAATCCTCCACCAGGGAGAACGAGGTAATTACATCCAGGAGAATTCTGCGCATTGATATATGACCCAAGTCACCTCCTGAAATTCTGTCTCTTGTTGGCGAGTGTGTTCCGGACTTGCTGTTAAAGGGTTCAGAATATTCCTTTCAGTTCCAAAAGGCAACGGCAAATTAGGTGCTAAGTAGTGGGTGGCACTCCCAACATACTCAAGTTAAGAGATATTTCTAAGGAAAATACTGTTTCTGATCATTAACAACAGCTTAAA